TTCCTTCCTTCCTTCCTTCCTTCCTTCCTTCCTTCCTTCCTTCCTTCCTTCCTTCCAGGCCTTTTGGCTAAGATCAAGTGTAATACATAAACACACACACACATCCATACCTACACCCACAAATAACTCGCCCTCCCCACCGGTGTAAACTTAAAATTACAGTCTTACCTTATTTGAAGCCTTCTGTGGTATTGTTCACCTGATACACGCTCATCCAAAATGAGGCACACACAAGGCCATATGTAAACACCAGTGAGATTGAATATTTACTCAGACCCAAGGTCTTCCCTGAGATGAGTTGTCCAATGCGCTGCCCTGCTTTTTTAGCCTTTGCCCTATTCTCCATGAAAAGCAGAACTTGTCCTGGGGATTGATTGTCTATCACATGGCTGCCCAGCGAAGAGTCCTGTGTCACTTGACAGCTATACAGGTCTAACAGAAATTTGCCCTAGAAAAAGGCACCATCGTACCTACGGTATAGTTAATTCCTGGGAAGACTATAGCAATTTTCAATACCAAGTGACTAAATATCTTTCCAAATAGCAAAGCAGAGGACAAGAAAACTTAATGGCCAAAGAGAGCTCAGAAGTGGTTATTGGAAGGTTAAATGGATGTTGGAACTGAGAGTCAGGATAATACAGTGATCGCTTCTACCTTTCCGTCCCTCTGGATCCTGCTCTAGAGGCTGTTACCCAGTTGCCCGGCAACTGTTCCCTGTCTTAGTTACACCCGTTGGCTTCCAGCATTGATGGAAAATAATAAGGCCAAAGTTCCGATTTTAAGGAAATTTAGAGTTGAGTGAAATCAAACACATACTGTGAACTTCAAAACAAGCAGATTTTAATGAACTCGGAGCAATGCTAAGCAAGATTCCAAAGCTGGAGAAGCTAATAGGAAAATGAGCTAAAGATGGCTGGGAGATTCTAAAGCAAAGAAATACTAAAAGCACAATTGCAAACAATTCCACTGAGAAAAAAACCCTGAAAGACAATGGCAACAGAAGCCAGTGTGTCTGCACAAAAAGCTTAGTGAAGTTTTGAAGAAAAGGAGGGACACAAATAGGAAGTGGAAAAAGGGAGAAGTCACTAAGGAAGAGTACAGACAGACAGCTTAGAACTGTAGAGAAAAGTGAATGTGCAGAATAAGGTTGGCAAAGAATGTTAAGAACCAAAAGTTGATTCTTAGTTTTTGTATGCTGTTTTTAATCTATGGTTAGCTACTCACTATAGCAAGGTGGATGGCCATATGAATATAATTAAATAAATAAAAAGGACTTTTTAGATATATTCAAAACAAAAATGAAAAGAATCTGTATCCCAGCTGTTCAATAAGGACAGTAAAATGCTAATAAGAAACAAAGAAAAGACTTAAATTCTCACTGGTTTTTTAATTTATTATGAAGATGGGAATTTGGTAAGCTGGTCCAAGAAGCAGCCAGCCACCAATACAAGAGAACTGGCACCAACATTTGATGCCTTCTCTTTTCTTTCATCCTACTTTAAAATTTGAAAGCAATCCTGTATTTTTCTTGTGATGGCACAGTACAAAACCAAAGTGGGTTCCCCATCGCTATTTAAAATGATCTTTGGACCATCTGAAATGGTATATCTGATGTCTGATCCTTCTAAGCCAGTGTTGTCCAAACTTAGCCACTTTAAGATGAGTGGACTTCAACTCCCAGAATTC